AAACTTTACAACGTTTCATTAGCAAATTTTCATCATAAAAACTATTCCATATCCAAATGTTCATCTCAAATATTCTCTCTCATATATGCTAATCAAATGATTAATCTTAACATCCGCTGCTTCTCCTTAAAATTTCTCTTGTAAAAACCATTCCTTCCTATGGCTATCTTTGTAACTAATCTGCTTGTACCATGACACAATTTAAATATCTCAAATTTTCACAACGATCGTGGTCATTGTTGCTGGCTCAAATTCTCGCTTTATCCTTATCTGAATCACCATAACCTCTTCACCAAATAAATCGTTACACAAAGTTTTCAGCAAACCAACAATTCAACTAATCAATTGGCAAATCACCTCAACTAAATCAAATCAATTCAAAACTTTTCACGACAAAATTTTAGTGCCCGAGGTGAGGTGCAATATCGATTTCTTTAGCCAAATCAGCTCAACCAACTATCGAAAGAATCTCAAAGCTCCTCGAAGATATCAGGGAACTCGACTTAACAGCACCAGATCGAAATCTACCGAACGAAGAAATGCGACACAGTATGAAATTAAGAAACAGAACATCAAAGATGAAATTAAGCATTTTGAAATGTACGTCGGTGTGTTAGAATCAAACTTATACGACGAACGACAGCAACGAGGAGGAAAGAGAGTCGACGATAAACAAGGTATTGTAAGTTTAATCAATAACGGTGAAGAAACCATCATCTTTAAATTCATACTACGATGACTTTGAAGTAATACTCCGAGACTTGGATAAAATAGATAGCAAGAGGACACCTTCATCCACCTATCATTCAACAATAAACCTCTATCACAGTTGCCATTACCAACTTTTAGCGGAGGTCCTAAAAAGTGGCGTGAATTCTGGAGTAACTTTAATGCAGCTATACATCTCCAGGAGATTCCAATCATTCAAAAACTTACCTATTTGATTTCGTGTCTTAGAGGAGAAGCCTTATAATTAGTTAGAGGTTATGACGCCACCTCAGAAAATTACGGACTAATAAGACAAGTTTTGATCGAAAACTTGTAAACCTGTCACAATAAAGAAGTTGTTATATAATGAATTCCATTCTATTCAATGAAATAACAAAGAATGGAAATCAGTTATCGATGCGATGGAAAGAATCCTTCGACAATTAGAAGCAATGGACAAGAACATAGAACATTGCAGTATTGAAATGACCATTGAAAATAGATTACCACGATGGATCTTAAGATTTAAAAACAGAAAAGGAAGATTGGATCGTCAATAATCTTCAACAATTCTTGATGAGATTAGTCCAAAGAAACAGAAGAAGCAAACAGAAATCAAAGTTGTCGCTGAAAAGCGAGAAGTACCGGAGCAGAATTAATTTCTTTGTTCCGGATAAAATTTTATAGAGAAGTAATTCCTTTGTTCTGGATCAAAATCGTTGGATGTAATGTAAGCTGTGAATGTATTTCGTAATGTAAAATGTGGACTAAAATTGTCAATCCTTTTTGTCCATGGATTTCGTAATAGCTCCATTTCGCAGAAGCTAACAAAGGCGCTAATTCTTGTAAGCACAGTACTATCCATGATCCTCCTCCTACGATGAGGATGAGGATGCCAAGCACAGAGGATTTCAAAGGAATGAAGGTGTGCTTCCACGAAGAAGTTGTATGGGCAGCTTTTGGTCTCCCTTTTCCTTTGTGTTACGATATCGTTACTAAAATGTTTGATTGATATGAATGAAGTTGCATGATTGATATTTTAATCGTTTGCTGTTGTATTAACAAATTTATCGTAATAAAATTTTAATTACCCAAGTTTGAGGTCAACCAGTAACTGAAAGATTGCAATCAGAAACCTAAATTTTGTCACGGTCAAAAAAGAACGGCGACAAAAGTCATAGTGAGGAACAAAGCACGAAATATGTACTATATAGCACTATTAGAGGTTACCATAAACCAATCCAAATTAGCCAATGCAAAAAGCCTTGAGTAGCCACTAATTCAAAAAGAATTAGTAAGGTTAAAAGACTTCGTGCATTTTGCAACAAAAACTATGGGAATAACGAATGTCCAAATTATTCAACACTCCAAGAACGAACTGAATGTTTGAAAGGAAATAATGCTTGCACAAAGTGTCTTCGGAGAGGACATGCAATAATCAATTGTAATCAAAGGAAACGTTCATGTTTCCACTGCAACCATCTCAACCAAATCAAATCAATTCAAAACTTTTCACCACATATAATATGATTGCATAAGAAATAAAAAGAAATATTTAAATTACTGTATGATTTAGTATGATAAAATTTTCTACGATTATGATATGATAGTTATAGGAGACTTTCTGTGATTACTACGTGATAGTAACCAATGCTATCTAATGATTAAAAAAGACAAGTTAATATATAAAAAGTAATATCAAACCTTATATACATGAATACACTTTGCTAATATCTCCACATCATCTGTAAATGTTACCACTGTTGCACCATTTGATAACGATGAAAAGAGTACATCACGTCCGAAGGTATCATGGAATAAAGCATTGGAAAGAATAAATTCACCACGACTTGGTAAATCATAAGCTTCTCTACTGAAATATACTAAATGATAATCAATTGTTTGTTATCTATCCATAATGATTGAAATATATTTCAATTTTTTGAAGAAAAGCAACAAATTGACATTTTTTGAGAGGATAATAATAAAAAAGATAAGGAAAATATTTGAGAAGAAAGAAAAAATTAAATACTATAATATTTGATTTAAATGTTTCAGCAAATTGGCAACAAAATCAACAGAATCTTAAAATGATATAATAGCTAAAAGGTCATGATTTTTTCCAGAATAATCTATCTTCAATTTGCTTCATCTGGTAACTCTTATCATCTAACATTTTTTCTGAAGATTTTTTTAATTATTCAAATATTATTATCAATTTCTAATCAACAAAAATATTATTCGATTA